GACTCGAACCCGTACTTGTCCTTTCCGAGGACAGTACGGGTTCGAGTCCCGTCCGAGACTGGAGTTTTGTCCACAAATCGACAACCTTGTGAGACGGGGACTGTTTATTTATTTATTTGTTTATTTGTTTATTTATTTAATCGTTTATTTATTTATTCGACGTATAAATATATGCTAATTTTGTTACCACTTCCATCTGTATTTGTTATCTGCGATGCTTCATTGGAGTTTGACCGTTACCTCTTTACTTCTGCTAGGGGAAGGATGAAGGGGAGTTGGCCTTTTTTTTGGGGAGACTTTCCATATCTGAGAAGGAGTGCCAGTAGAGGGGAAACAAAGCAGTCTTTAATTTTCAATTGTTGGAGGGTTGGAAGACCAAAGAATTTGAGTACAGTTGTCAATGAGGAATTGTATCAAAAGTATCACTTTTTTGTTCCCTCACTGGGAACATAAACGAGTCGAAAGGAGCTTTTGACATGGGTCTCGAAATCAAATCAATTCTGATCGAGAACTGTAGACGCTTCTTTCGTGGCCCCCAAAAAATGATCATTCCCGTCACAATCCCGTCAGTTTCTGCGAAATAAATGAAAGGGCATCAGCGCTCATGACAGCTGTCGAGGTGATTTTTCTGCCTCGTCGTCGCTGCCTTTGAAATATCAAAGGCGGCTGTCGTAAATATGAGATTAACGCATTTTGTCAATGCTCAACAGAACGACACGTCGTTTCATAGTTTACGAGAAGCACTTCCGCGAGGTCGACAAGTCCTGATGTCTTTGGTGGGTGCTAGTTTATGTGACCAATTGAACTGTTGTGACTTTTAGTTGCTTGATCCTCAACAGAGGACCAATTTGTGGCAAAATTGCCAGTGACCTCATTGAGGACAAGTGGGTGTTGTCACTCACTCATTATCAGAACGTTCAACTAGGGTTGCAGATCTTCCTCACAGGTAACGCCCTCGATTCGGTGAAAGATCTCTTTGTTTCAGTATACTGCTCTGCTTCTTTAAATGAAGGCTCGTAACGACTTGTCGAGGCACTTTCACTAGCATTGTGCTCTTCTCAGCCTTTAAGAGCAATCATTCCCGACCTAAAGGCACTTCTGTATCTGATAATATGTAGTTCCCAAGTGGTCGGCAATGGGTGATAACGCTACTGTCGAACGACATCACCCAACTGATACGACACCCATCTGTTCCATCCCCATTCGCTTTTTTTGAATATTACTGAGTAGTTATCGTTGCCCAAACTTCAGCTGTCAGAGGTTTCACATCGAAAGTTTCTTTTGAGAAAAGTACAGCCGTGTGTTGGCTGCCCCCAAATTTGTCCTGCTATTTAGAGTAACCTCTTATGAAAAAATTCGAGTGGACTGCAGTTACTGCACCTGAATTGCTGGGGGACTGCCTGAGCGAGTTGAAGAAGAGTCGAGGTACTCAAAAGTGGACCGTCAAATTAACATTGTTTGCAGAAGTTAATTGAACCAAGTAGTTCTTTTATGTCTCCTTCTTTCTGTTTTTTCTTTTCAAAATCTTTCTGTGCTAATTTCATTTAATTTGATTTCACTTTTCTTTCAGAATGCCTGTTAATTATTTTTCACAAAACAAAAACTAGGTAAGATTAGTTTTTAGAGTTCGTAACTCATTTTTTTAGAGTTTTCCTCTTTGAGTTCGCAACTCATTTCGCATCATTCTGGTCGCTACAAATTCAATCAAGTTCTGTACCTTGCAATATTGTGGAATCACCTGACACGCATTAGAGCCTTATCGTTCTAATAACAAGCAAATGTTAAAAATGCTGCTCAGTAATTCCGCGACATCCTTTTCCGTGAACGGTGCAGGATGTAGCCTATGAGCGTTACCAACAGTACAACGGCGCGGTTTCTTTCTCGGACGTTTTTTAAGTTCCTTCTAACATATTTCCCTTAAAATCACCTTTCTACATTTTTGTATGTGCCTATTCCATAGTCTTATAAACGAACGGCTAATCTAGGGAAAGCCTAAAGGTTCTACAACTGTTTTGTAGCTTGATGGGAGGAGCGGAAGTGGGTCCTTCCTGAGAGCGCCCTTAGAAAGCTTGAAGTCCTGCACAGTGTATTTAGATTGATCCACTCATCTAGAGTCGGTCTTTGTGCTCTTTGTTCTTGATGATTGCGGGACAAGGCTGTGGGAGAGTTGAGCTTGTGAAACTTCTTGCTAATGGCGAACACATTGCAAAGCTTGATACCTCGGAGCCTTTCACCTTCTTTATCTGTGCTTTTATCGGATGTGTAGCATTTTACACCTTTTGGGCTTTGAATGAGCCCAAAAGCCCTATCTTCTTTGGGCAGATTTTCCGGGCACATCTTTTTGTTATGTGGAACTTTGTTTCTCTTTTCGTTCCTTTAATCAATTCTGGAGTGATTCTTTGAGTTGGGTTTAATTTTTAGTTTTAATCCAAGTCGCATCGCTACGCCATATTTTTGGATTGCTCTCTAACAAGATGTCATCCTTTTTTGTCGCTCGCAATACTGTGAGTAGCAATTTTCTATGATTCAATGGTAGTAGTGAGAACACGAAAGTAGTGAGAATTCTCTCCGGTCTATCCACCCTTTGCCAAAGTCACTCATTTTCGAATGATCGTCAAAAAAAACCAATGTTTTTCTTTTGAAACCTACAAAAACAAAGAGAACACTTTAATCCAATTTCCTTGATAGCAAATGACTGCACTAATTGCGAGGCCAGTTATTTCAGCCGATCCGTGTGTTGAGCCCAAAACGTCAAAGATCCACTAAAAAGGATCAAATGCCTTCTAAACGACGTTCACAGGTAAACAGTGAAAATTTGACCATAGTGATAGTCTACTCCTTTCGATGACAATTAACCATTTAGTTAGAATAACTAGGAGTGACACTAAGTTCGGTCCGCCATAGATTGATTTTATCGCTATCCTTTTGCTGTCCTCAGCATTCGGTAGTTTTGACTTCTGTAGTAGTCATTCGCTTTCTAACATATGAATTCGCATATTTTCGGAGACCATTATCTGCTAAAG